CTTTCCACCCAGCTCTAAAAGAGGAGAGACAAGCTCAGAAACAGGCTAAAGAAACCGACACGACAAAACACAGAAAAGGTACGCACCGACACGGAAGTTCGCAAGGGTGGAGAGTTCCCCCGCCTGCCGAGCCACCTGCTCACATAGCCGGGTGCTCGCCTCCTCTGTCCCCATCAGTCGGCCCGAAGCACGAGCACCTCCTGGTCCACCTCCAAACGGGCCTTTCGCTCTGACTCTAGGGCCTTCCGTGCCAACTCCAGGGCGCTCCGCTCTGACACCAAGGCGCTCCGCTCCGACTCACCAAGGACTCTTGGAGCGCTGCCTTGGTGTCCGCCAAGGATGTCCGCAACCCTGCCTCGGTGGGTCCGCTTGGCTGGCCTTCGCCACCTCAAGCCCTTGCTCGGCGGCAGTCGCCCGCTCTACCTCACGCTGCCCCTCCTCCCGCACCGCGGTCGCCTCGGCCGCCCGGTCCTAGGACTCGCGGTGAGTGCACTCTAGCTTATGCTCAAGCTCAGCCATCCGGGCGTCCTCTATTCGGAGGAAGCAGGACTTGTGGGACGACATCCCCTTCAGACTCTATGAAAAACAAGCATGCTAAGGCAACCAACAAAAGATTCAGAGGTCAAGGACAAGTACAGGAAACTCACCTCTGTGGCAAGCTGCAGGTCGACCTCAACTAACTGCTGAGCGGACTTAACCCGCTCCTAGGCATCTCCTAGCCTCACGGATAGGTTGGTGAGTTTAGACACCGCGGCATGTCCTTGCTCCCCAAGGATGTCCTAGAGCTGACCCTCCTGCGAATCCCAAAGGACGAACCGCACCTTTGTCGGGTCCTCGAGGCAGGGCCACTCCAGATCACCCTCTGGCAGCCCACCAGAGGGCCCCGCCTCCGACCGAACCACCGCCAGCTCCCGCGACAATGCTGGTGGCTTCGCCACGACTTTCGCCTCGTCGTTAGATGGGATATCCACCACCTCGGGTGCGTAGGCCACTGCCAGGCGTTCTGACTCTGTCCTAGCCACGTCTCCCTCCAGCGCTTTCGGCTCCAACCGCAAGGGTGAGCCATGTAGCTCCCCGACTGGCGAGGCAGGAAGCTCAGTCTACCTCTCCTCTTCTTCCACGGCTAGTGGAGGAGGGGCCACGAGAGTTACCTCCGATGCGACCTCCGCCGTCAGCACCGGGATCGCCACCAATGCCGCCGCTGCTGCCACCGTACCAACAACCAATCCGGGGGGCACCACCCCCAGAAGGGAAGGACTCACCGCCGCTGCCCTGTTCCCCCCACTGCTCACCGCGACACGCTGCAGGGTGGGCCTCCAAGCCTCCTATATGGGAGTTGGGGCAATATTCAAACCTGTCATCGCCCGGCCACTGACAAAAAGGGCAGGTAGGTCAAACTCCAAAAAAACTCGACAGTAAAAGATCAAAAATAAACAAAGGAAAACGTACTAGGAGGTGAGCGGTACAACTCTGAAGGCAACACCCGACATCGATGGGCCTGTAGGACAAGGACCGCTCCCGGGCTGCGACCCGCACCCCCACACTTTAGCCGGGGGTGGAGTCGCCCCAACCGGCTCCTGCCCGGTCTATGGGTCGCCACGACCCACGGCTCGGGACTTCACGACTGGAGCAGAGGGCGGGGCTTCCTCCAGCTGCGAGTCACGCGACGCGTGGGTGCTAGTCCGCTCCTCGGACCACTCGGCTTGCTCGACCACGTCCGTGGCAGGGGGGGCTTCCCCCGGCTGCGAGTCACGCGCTGGCACCGCTCCCGGTGATGCACTAGTGCCAGTCTCCTCCTCAGACCACCTGGCCTGCTCGGCGGCGTCCGCAGCAGGCGGCGACAAGACCAGCGACGCCACCGAAGGGCGCGGTGACCGCATGCGCTTTGCCTCCCGTTCGCCGACAGCGTCCGCGCTCGCCGCATGCTTCCTTGGTGCGGGAACCACCGCACGCCTCTCCGCCTCCTGCTCATCACCAGCGGACATCGCCGTAGGGTCGCGACGCACCACCGAGGTCACAACGACCTCCTAGCTTTCCTCCTCCTCGGAGAAAACCATGTCATCCACCTCCGTGGGATCCTCCGACTTGAGTTCTGACTCGACGTCGCTCTTTCTTTCCCCAGCCTTCATGCGCCGGGCGATCTCCTTCTCCTTCTTATACTTCCGCTGGGCCACCTGGGCTTTCTTCTTCTTCTTGGCATCCGCCGCCTCCTTCTGGGCGGCCTGCCGAGCCACGCCCTCTGGCCCCTTCGAAAGGTGCGGCCGGGACTTGTAAGCATCAAGCCCCTACGCACAGGCAACTCAAAATCAAAAAAATAGGAAAGTGAAAGGGAAAGGAACATAGAGTAAGAAAGGAAGCACACCATTCTAGACACCATCGTGTTGGGAGTATGCCCTAGAGATAATCATGGAGATGATTATATTGCCTTGTATCCATGATATATTATGAGTTCATTGAATTTCCATTAAAGACAACCTGTATCAATTAGCAATTATGTTAATTATTTGTGAAACTCTTTTACTTGTATGGTTATTCTAATGTTGTCCCTGGTCAGAGTTCGTGTGAGGACACACATGAATAATGGATCAGCACATTATTAGTTGATGACTATGTTTCACAAGTGATAGACATGGAGATATCAAACTAATAATGTGGGCACATGTATGACATGGGGCTGGACTGACCCAACGTGAGATGTTGTTATTATCTCTATTCACATCATGTATGTTATGTCCTTAGACCTGAGATTGTTGTATGTATTCAAGATGTGAAACGACCTACTCAGGGACTATCAAATGCTACTCCATAACATGGTAGTTATAAAGGTGGGTTTTCGGGTTTGTCGGGAAACATGCTATGAGACATAGACAATCAAGATGGAATTTGCCCCACTCTATATGAGAGAGATATCACTAGATCACTCTAATGATTAGATCAAGAAATGCATGGCCGTGCTTGGGTTAAGTGTTAACCTATGAGTTGGACCAAATATCATGAGGCAAGGGAATAACAAGTATGTGGTTTTGTGGTGGTTCGTCTGATATGATCTTTGCATACGCATAGGAGTTGACATGCCTTGCTAGAGGCCGCTATCAACTAATGGCCGAGTAGCAGTACTCGGGCCATGTCTATGTGTGCGTGAACCCATAGGGTCGCACACTTAAGGGGCTGGAAGCCTAATTCGGATTGGATCCGAGTTAGACAAGGCTTAGGGTTACTAATGGGCCTCCAACTCGGGAGCTCATTAGGGACGCCTATAAATAAGTGGGGTGGGCAACGGGGCTAAGTAGGGCACGCCATCTGGCAACCGCCGCCGCCCATCCTACGCCCGCACCTGCTGCTCCTCACGGACCTAGCAGTCCAAAGGCGCGACGCTTCCTCCCTGTACGTGTGGATACCTCGGAGGTGCTGCATCTGGAGCACAAGGATGAACCGCACGAAGGGGATGGATGTACGGACGACCTTGCAACTGCACGGCACTGCTACGACGCATACGACTACATCGAGTCACTTCCGCTGCACCTGCGCGTCTAGTGGTAATCCCGTGATTTATAACTAGCAGTAGATCCTGGTTTATGATGTCGAATTTTTGTTTTCCGGCTAGCATAGCATCCTCATAACCCTACAGTGGTATCAGAGCCGTTACTACATTGTTATAGGTTCGGATGAGTGCATATGGAGATATGCGCGGTTGTAGATGAGTTTCTAATCATGGTTCATGATTTTACCATGTTGGTCTTGTAACGATCTACTCGTACTGGTCGGAATTCCGCCATCCGAGTTAAGTGATACATGTAAATCTAGTCATGGCAAGATGGAGATCAATCAGATTGATCGAATCGAACCTAGGTCAAGTGCCGAGCGCATGTGATGCGCAGCGGTGATAGATTGGATCTACTGCCAGGCGCTGGGGTGCAAGAAAAAGTGTTGTTCGGTAAAACAACCATAACTTTTGCATACGACCTCGGATTGAGACGAACTCTAAACAAAAATTGTAGAGAAAAAAATTTTACATCCAATTCTCACCGCCTTTGGGGGTTTCATTGAAATTAGATTTGCGAAAAATAGCCGGGAAGATGGTGTTTTCGGCGTTTTAAGATTAGATGTCGGAATCGGTTAACTCTGTTTTGCAGGAATTTATGACTGGTATAGCCCTTATGTGTATGTGATGCATGTATGTAATTAATTCATCGCTTGCATGTCGTGAGCATGACAATATTGATGGAGCCACAAAGATATTATCAATTTGATGTAATGGCCTGTGTGCCAAACTGTGATGATCCTATCCGCGACTATGTAATTTTCTTCACTGCCTTGCGTTAGTGATAGCTAGTCTTGGTGGACTCATCATCGAAGGATGGCATACATGGATCATGGAGATGGAGATCATCATGAGGAACAGTTTGATGGAGATGGAGATCCCCAAAGGAACAATGGACTATACCATGTCATATCTGTGTTAATGTTGTTCTTACTATGTTCTACTTCCACGTGCGATAATGTTTTTGTCTACATGCGATGGTGAAGTAGAACGATCCCTTGGCAATGTTTAAGTTAAAATGCTTCCCCAAACCTTGCATTGTCATGTGTCTTGTACAATCGGTGGTGGGTCTATGAAATTAGGGTGCCACTGGTTTTCCTTGACTAGACAGGTTCGTATCGGATACTTACAGTAGAAGGGTTGGTTACTTGGACAAGGTCATCCTAATGGTTAGGGTCCTTGGAGCATGAGTAGTTGGGCACCTAAGCATAGAGATGCTACCCAACAACAAGAGTCATATGTGATATGATTAGCAAAGAGTTGCTTACCAATCTACCATGTCTTCTAGCGGTGATGCTAAAGCTCACTAGTAGACTTGTTAGTTGTGGGTCTTGAATCACTAAGTTTCAAGAGAGGGATATTGATTTTAGTGGGAGTAGATTCTATTAAAGGTTTAATATTGTTTACTCTGTCTTGGATACATTGTCTTAGTATTTTGCATTACTTTTGTTGTAGATAAATGGCACCTAGCAATCAACCATTTACTTTGCGTTCAATTCTTGAGAAAGATAAGTTGAATGGAACAAACTATGCGGATTGGATCCGCAACCTGAGAATTGTTCTCAAGGCTGAGAAAAAGGAAGAAATTCTAGACACCCCATTACCAGAAGAGCCTGCTGATAATGCACCTGCTGTAGAGAAAAACGCTTACAAGAGAGCATGTGATGCTCATCTTGAAGTGAGTTGCCTTATGCTTGCTTGTATGGAACCAGATCTGCAGTTGTAGTTTGACAATAACCATGCCGCGCACGATATGATCATGGCGCTCAATGATATGTTCCAGACTCAAGCCAGGACTGAAAGGTTCAATGTCTCAAAGGCTTTTGCTGAAACCAAGCTAGCAGAGGGCGCAGCAGTTGGGCCACATGTGATCAAAATTGTTGGTTACACTCAGAGGTTGGAGAAGCTGGGCTTCCCAATTGGCCCTGAATTAGCTACTGATTTTATTCTCACGTCTCTTCCGCCCAGCTATGGAAATTTCGTCGTGAACTACCATATGCATGGGGCGGAGATGGGCTTGAATGAATTATGTGGCATGCTTAAAATAGCAGAGGCTGATATCAAGAAAGGTGCTGGCAGTAGCCATGTGATGGCGGTCCAAAACAAGCCTAAGTTTAAGAAGAAGGGCAATTCTTGGAAGAAGAAAAAGGGCAAGGCTAAAGATGAGATCTCTAAGCCAAACCCACCTGCGCCCAAGGCTGGACCACCTGCTGATGCTGAGTGCTTTCATTGTCATGGGAAAGGTCACTGGAAGAGGAACTGCAAGCTGTACCTAGAATCCATAAAGGATCATGGTAGTAAAGGTACTCCCGTAGCTTGTACACTTGTTGTTTATGTTACGGACATTTTCCTTGCTAATTCTTATAATAATTCTTGGGTATTTGATACTGGATCGGTTGCTCATATTTGCAATACGATGCAGGGAATGATAAGAGGTAGAAGCGTGGAAAAGGGAGAAGTTGATTTCTGCGTGGGCAATAATGCAAGAGTTGCTGCGTTGAACGTCGGGACGATGCAACTCCACCTTCCGTCAGGATTTATTATGGAGTTGAATAATTGTTATTTTGTTCCTAGTTTAAGTCGAAACATTGTGTCACCTTCATGTTTGATGAAGGATGGTTATTCATTTGCGAGTAAAGACAATGGTTGTGTGATCTCTAAAAATGGCATGTTTGTGGCTTCTGCATCCATTGTGAATGGGTTATTTATTTTAAATCTTGAAGATGCTCCTGTCTATAATATAAGTGATAAAAAGCCTCGGCTTAATGAGTTAAGTCCTACCTATATGTGGCATTGTCGTTTAGGTCATATAAGTGAGAATTGCATGAAGAGGCTCCATTCTGATGGGCTTTTAACTTCATTTGATTTTGAATCATACGAGACATGTGAGGCTTGCCTGCTGGGCAAGATGACCAAGACGCCTTTCACAGGTTTTCCTGAGAGGGCAGCAGACTTGCTGGAACTCATACATACTGATGTGTGCGGACCAATGAGTACGACAGCAAGAGGCGGATTCCAATACTTCATAACCTTCACTGATGATTTTAGTAGATATGGCTATGTCTACTTAATGAGACATAAGTCTGAGACATTTGAAAAGTTCAAGGAGTTTTAGAGTGAAGTAGAGAATCAACATGGCAAGAAAATTAAGGCTTTGCGATCTGATCGTGGAGGCGAATATTTGAGCCACGAGTTTAGCAATCATCTAAAGAGTTGCAGAATTGTTCCACAGCTTACGCCACTTGGAACGCCTCAGAGAAATGGCATGTCCGAGCGACGTAATCGGACTTTGTTGGACATGGTTCGGTCTATTATGAGCCAGTCAGACCTACCGTTATCATTTTGGGGATACGCTCTAGAAACAACCGCTTTCACATTGAATAGGGTACTGTCTAAGTCTGTAGTTAAGACACCACATGAGATGTGGACTAGTAAGAGTCCCAGTTTGTCTTTTCTGAAAATTTAGGGTTGTGAAGTTTATGTCAAATGACTTATGACAGATAAACTAACACCCAAGTTAGACAAATGCTTTTTCGTGGGATATCCGAAGGAAACTTTAGGGTATTACTTCTACAACCGATCAGAGGGCAAAGTGTTTGTTGCTCAGAACGGTGTTTTCTTAGAGAAAGAGTTTCTCAAAAGAGAGAAAAGTGGACAGAAGGTGTATCTTGAAGAAGTTCAAGATGAGCCAGTTGGGAAGGACTCTACGAGTGAAGCTAATGTAGCAGAACAAATTGAGATACCCGTGGCAATAGAAACACCACCACAACCACGAAGGTCAGCAAGAATCCATGAGTTGCATGGGGATTTGTTATTGTTAGATGATGACGAACCTACGACTTATGCGGAAGCAATGATGGACCCAGATTCCGAGAAATGGCAAAGTGCCATGAGATCCAAGATAGATTCCATGGGAAACAATTAAGTTTGGAACTTGGTTGACCCACCTGATGGGGTTAGACCCATAGAGTGCAAATGGATCTATAAAAAGAAAAAGGATATGGATGGAAATGTTCACATCTATAAAGCTCGACTTGTTGCAAAGGGTTTTCGGCAAGTTCAAGGAATTGACTACGACAAGACTTTCTCGTCGGTAGCAATGCTTAAATCTATCCGGATCATTCTAGCAATAGCTGCTTATTTCGATTGTGAGATATGGCAGATGGATGTTAAAACAGCCTTTCTAAATGGAAATTTGGATGAGGACGTGTATATGATACAGCCTAAAGGTTTTGTTGATCCAAACAATGCTGGAAAAATTTGCAAGCTTCAGAAATCCATTTATGGGTTAAAGCAAGCATCTCAGAGTTGGAACAATCGTTTTGATGAAGTGGTCAAAGGGTTTGGCTTCCATCAGAATGAAGAATAACCTTGTGTTTACAAGAAGGAAAGTGGGAGTGATATTGTATTTCTGATCTTGTATGTGGATGACATATTATTGATTGGGAATGACATTACTATGTTGCAATCCGTAAAGACTTCACTGAATAATATTTTTTCTATGAAGGATTTAGGAGAAGCATCATACATTTTGGGCATCAAGATCTATAGAGATAGATCGAAGAGGCTTATAGGATTAAGCCAAGATACGTACATTGATAAGGTGTTGAAATGGTTCAACATGGAACAGTCCAAGAAAGGGTTCTTGCCTATGTCACATGGTATGCGCTTTAGCGATAAACAGTGTCCTTCGATAGCTGATGAGCGGAAGCGCATGAGTAAGGTTCCATATGCCTCGGCAGTTGGTTCCATCATGTACGCCATGATATGTACTCAGCCAGATGTCTCATATGCTCTAAGTGTTGCGAGTAGGTACCAAGCTGATCCAGGAGAGAGTCACTGGACACTTGTTAAAAACATTCTTAAGTACTTGAGAAGGACTAAAAATGTGTTCCTAATCTATGGAGGTGAGGAGGAGCTCGTTGTAAATGGTTACACCGATGCTAGCTTCCAAACTGACACGGATGATTCACAGTCTCAATCAGGTTTTGTGTTTACAATAAATGGTGGTGCTGTAAGTTGGAAAAGTTCCAAGCAGGTGATGGTGACCGATTCTATAGCAGAGGCCGAGTACATTGCAGCTTCTAGAGCTGCGAAGGAAGGTGTTTGGATGAGGAGGTTCCTCATTGAACTTGGTGTGTTTCCGATTGCGTTCAGGCCATTGAATCTACATTGTGACAACAATGGGGCAATTGTGCAGGCTAAGGAGCCAAGGAATCACCAAAAGAACAAACATGTACTGCGGAAATTTCACCTCATTTGAGAGTTTGTTAGACGAGATGAGATCAAGATGTGCAAGATACACACAGATTTGAATGTTGCAGATCCTTTGACAAAGGCTCTTCCACAGCCTAAGCATGAGGCGCACATGAGAGCTATGGGTATTAGATATCTTCGAGAGTAACTCTAGTGCAAGTGGGAGATTGTTGAGAGTATGCCCTAGAGATAATCATGGAGATGATTATATTGCCTTGTATCCATGATATATTATGAGTTCATTGAATTTCCATTAAAGACAACCTGTATCGATTAGCAATTATGTGAATTGTTTGTGAAACTCTTTTACTTGTATGGTTATTCTAATGTTGTCCCTAGTCAGAGTTCGTGTGAGGACACACATGAATAATGGATCAACACATTATTAGTTGATGACTATGTTTCACAAGTGATAGACATGGAGATATCAAACTAATAATGTGGGCACATGTATGACATGGGGCTGGACTGACCCAACGTGAGATGTTATTATCTCTATTCACATCATGTACGTTATGTCCTTAGACCTGAGATTGTTGTATGTATTCAAGATGTGAAACGACCTACTCAGGGACTATCAAACGCTACTCCATAACAGGGTAGTTATAAAGGTGGTTTTTTGGGTTTGTCAGGAAACATGCTATGAGACATAGACAATCAAGATGGAATTTGCCCCTCTCTATATGAGAGAGATATCACTAGATCACTCTAATGATTAGATCAAGAAATGCATGGCCGTGATTGGGTTAAGTGTTAACCTATGAGTTGGACCAAATATCGTGAGGCAAGGGAATAACAAGTATGTGGTTTTGTGGTGGTTCGTCTGATATGATCTTTGCATACGCATAGGAGTTGACATGCCTTGCTAGAGGCCGCTATCAACTAATGGCTGAGTAGGAGTACTCGGGCCATGTCTATGTGTGCGTGAACCCATAGGGTCGCACGCTTAAGGGGCTGGAAGCCTAATTTGGATTGGATCCGAGTTACACAAGGCTTAGGGATACTAATGGGCCTCCAACTCGGGAGCTCATTAGGGACGCCTATAAATAAGTGGGGTGGGCAACGAGGCTAAGTAGGGCACGCGATTTGGCAGCCGCCGCCGCCCATCCTACGCCCGCGCCTGCTGCTCCTCATGGACCTAGCAGTCCAGAGGCGCGACGCTTCCTCCCTGTACATGTGGATACCTTGGAGGTGCTGCATCTAGAGCACAAGGATGAACCACACGAAGGGGATGGACGTACGGACGACCTTGCTACTGCACGGCACTGCTACGATGCGTATGACTACATCGAGTCGCTTCCGTTGCACCTACGCGTCTAGGTGTAATCCTGTGATCTATAACTAGCAGTAGATCCTGGTTTATGTGGTCAAATTTTTGTTTTCCGTCTAGCGTAGCATCCTCATAACCCTACACATAGAGGCATTAAGAGGTATGGGCTTTCCCTCGACCTTCTCTTTGGGCTTCAGCTGCAGCACCCGGCCAAGGCAACTCCAGACCTCGTCATCCGGTAGCTCCTCCGGTGACACGCGATCAGGGTCCGACGTACCGCTATACCTCCACATCAGTCATGTCCACTCCGCCAATGGAGCAACCCGATGGCAGTAGAGGGTGTGGAACACCCACACCCCATCAAGGCCACGCCGCACGAGCTTCCGTAGCTCCTCCTCAATGATCTCCACCTTCTTCTTCTCCTTACGGGCACAACCCCACGACCAACTATCCTGTTTCTCCGGCCTCTCGCCGATGAACGCTAGGAACGGCGCCTCCGCCGGATTCCTGATATAAAACCACTCCCCGTGCCACCCCCGGTTAGAGTCATAGGGGATGTATGCGGGATACGAGCCCCCATGCTCGGTTTCCTCTGTAGGGCGAAACCCCCCACCGACGCGACCTCGGACGGATTCCCCGCCGTCAAAGCTCTCTCGGAGAACAGCCGTCGGAAGAAGTCCGTGCGGCTCCAAACCGAGGAAGACCTCGCAGACGGTGACGAAGCCGGCGATATGCAGCACCCCCGTCGAATTAAGGTGTTGCAGCTCTAGACCCCACTCATTGAGGAGCCCGCGTAGGAACCCATGCGTGGGGTATCCTAGCCCACGCTCATGGAAGGTGAGGAAGGAAACCACCTCGTCAGGACGAGGTTGCGGGAACTCCTCCCTCCCAGGAGCCCTCTAGTGCGCCACCTCCTTCGGCGGTAGAAACCCCTTCGCGACGAAGGCCTTCAACACCGACTCCCTCATGGTGGACGACCTCTAGTCCGACATTTCGGTCCAGGGTCGATAAGGATTTGTGAGTTTTTTTCTTCTCCCTCGCTCTCTCCCTTTTCTTTCCTAGAAACCACCGCGGCTCTCAAGAATGCTCTCAGCAAGGAGGAAAAGGAAAGGAGGCGGCATATGAGGAATAGGCAAAGGAACAGGGCAAAAAACCCTCTCCCTTCTCCTACTTAAGGAAAAGGGCGTAGCAGTTGGAAAGCACGGCGATCGGGAGAAGGCAAAACGATGGGAGCGAAAAACCCTCTCTTTCCCATTTAATGCAGATGAGACACGCTCTGACCGATGAGACGTGCCCTGCCCGACGGAACGGCTCCTGATCAGATGGGATGTGGCCTAGGCATGGCCCACCACTACCGCACGCCAGCCACTACCGCATGTTGGGCACAAGAACCAAAGCGCCACCACACGCAGGCGGCCCTCCGCATCCCCAGGCGGGACTTGGAAAAGCCCAAAGCGGGATCTCCACCGGGAGAGACCATCGGGCTTCCTAAGTCGATCGAACGGCTCAGAAAAACACACCAAGAGACAGGTAGGAAGTGAAGGGACGCCCCATATAGGCCATACTGACTCCGTCATCAAGGTAACACTACCAACCCCCTCTATTTCTTTATAAATCATTTCATGCATCCATACGCGCATTCATTCCTTACGCCCGTGCCCCTCGGACGATTCGAGCCCTGAACTGCCCGGGGGCTCGGGAACTAAGCATCGCACGTGCAGTGAAATGCAACACAACGCTCCGTGTTGCATCACGAAGCGGCAGTTGCCTCATTCGACATGAGCAACAACAGAGCCAGGGGAGAAAAACGTAGATGAGCCCTATGCGGACCTCGCCTAGTCTAGCAGACAGGGTCATCTCAACCTTCTCGTTCGATCCTAAGCCTCTGCCAAGCCCACAGAATCTCCATCGAAGGGGAGGCCATTAGGCCACCTGGGTCGATCTCCGGAACGACCCAGGCATCTGTCGGGCTGCAGGTAAAGGAGCAGTGGAATGTCACAAGAGGGCTATGCCGACCCCGTCACGAACGACGGACCTAGATTCCACTCGATCATACCCGTTAGCGAACTCACCGAGCGCATCACTCGAGCCTAAGCGATCGGGACAAGCGACAAAACTCAGCCCCTCCGGTTATGAGGAACCGAGGACAAGGTAACGCACACAACTCAAACCAACCCCTACTAAAGCCCAACAGGGCTCAGGGGCTCAAGACACAAAACGCCTGGGTCTGCGACCCCGAACTCACCCCATCCGCTACGCTTTGACTGCACTCCAAAACAACCTAGGTCTGCGACCCCGAACTCGCCCCATCCGGCTACGCTTCGACTGTGCTCCAAAACAACCTGGGTCTGCGACCCCGAACTCGCCCCATCCGGCTACGCTTCGACTGCACTCCGAAAAATGCCTAGGTCTGCGACCCCGAACTCATGCAATCAGGATCCATGACTCTGACTCGCCCGATCCCATGGCGCGCACCGACGCCAGGATCAGGGAGCTCTGTCACAATCGATCCCTAAACTAACTAAACTGACTTCCTTAGCTGCACAGACTGCACCGAGGCGAGGATCCACGACTTCGACTCGTTCGATCCCACAGCGCGCACCGACGCCAGGACCAGCAAACTCTCACTCGTCCGATCCCTTGACTAAACTATCTTACCCGATCCCACGACGCGCATCGACGCAAGAAACCGCGAGCTCTGTCTCACCCGATCCCTAAAAAACAAACTAACCGCCTCGGCTGCACAATGACGCCCTGGTTGACAACTCCGTCTCAACTGAAAACACACACACACAAACGGTTCTGCTCGAACTACCCGGGGGCTCGGGGGCTACACCCGCGGGTGTGCTCACGCGCACCCGCCGTCAAGACAAAAATGTCCCAGACGACTCTGCCCGAATCGCCGGGGGGGCTCGGGGGCTCTTGTCGGATTCGTAAACCTGGGGTCCCTCGCGGACCGGCTTCCCCACAAGGGCTCGGCCCAAGCAGACAACTAGCGACTCATGGGCCGACCCAAGTATTTGAACAACAGGCAAGAGAGTGATCCAGTCTCCAACCAGAAGGTCAGGCCGAGGAGGAACAGCGCCCGTTTTTTGACTCTGGCCCACCTCTCCGACCGGAGTGCTCGCTTCAGTCTCTAGTCCGCCTCTGAACGGCCTCTCCGACCGGAAGGCCTGGCTAAAAGCACCGCTTTCGACTCTGACCCCACACTCTCCGACCGGGGATACGCCCAGCCCCTGCTCACCGCTCTTCTCCGACTAGCACGATCAGAGCCGACTGGGACCAACCGATCGGGGACGCCCGCTCGGTAGGGACCAGGAAACGTGCGGAGAAAAGCAAGGCAAGGCACACAAGTCAAACCACGATACCAAGGACCGTACCCTTTACACCTGTAGGAACAGTACTCTACAACCGCCGCTGACACAAACAGTATTGTAGGCGCCGACATTTCCCTCTACAGTATTGTGAACGCCATTAACTCCCATACGGTAAGGCCCCCCAGATACCTCTGGGCATTGACAGCGTTATGGGCACCGGAATTTACCGTACCGAGCGAACATGGTGAAACTCCTCACATGCCTCTAGGCATCAACAGTATATGTAGGTACCGACATCTGCCAGACCCAAAACAAGACGACGTAACCTCCCACATGCATCTGACATCCAACAGTGTTGTGGGTGCCTACCATCATCCTGTACCAGCCGACGTGGGCAACAAGGTTTAGAAGCATTTGTAC